CCCTCTGGGGTGTCCATCCCTGCCTTGCCCAGGAAGAAGCTCCTGGTGACATTCCCAGGCAGGACATGAAACATTCCAGGTGTGGTCCTGGGCTGAATCCTGCCCTCTGTGTCCGGCATTCCATCCTTGGGTGCCAGGAAAAGGCAGAGAAGTTCATGGGAGCTGCTGACCATCGGGTCCAACCGTCCCCAAGGCCACCACGGCCCCATGTCCCCAAGCGCCACACTCACAGGGATTTAAATCCCTCCGGGGTGGGAAATTGGGACTCCACCCCCTTTCAGTTTATCCCGTTGTTCCTCTGTGCTCTCCTCCCAGTGGAATTTCCAGGGTTTTTTTGGGATCCCTCACAGTGTCCTGCTGACCCTGGTTGTGACCAAGGTCTCTTTTGTCCCCTGGGCCACAGAGCACCAGTTCTACCACAAATGGGCCGTGCTGTCCGACCCCGAGGACCTCACAGCCGGCCCCAAGGGCTACCTCAAGTGTGACATTGCCGTGGTGGGCAAAGGGGACAACATCAAAACCCCGCACAAGGCCAACGAGACGGAGGAGGACGACATCGAAGGGTGAGGATTGGCCGGGACACCTCCCACCAGGCACAGACAGCTCCAGCAATTCCCGAAATTCCCCTAGAAATACTTTGTTCACAGCGTTCCCACGGGCTCTTTGCTTTTCCCAGAGGAGGAAAAGAACAATATCCAAAAAAAACAGTGGATGGAGTTTATTTCTCACCCCCAAAATAACCCCCTGATAAGGAAAAAATGGCTTGTCCAACATTTCCATTCATTCCATTCCCACGGAATGAAGTGGAAGTGGAAATGGAAGGAGCCAGYGCTCCAAAAATGGATCAGCTCCTCTTTGTTTTTTTATGGAATCGCAGAGGTCRGAAAATATCTCTGACACCATCCCAATCCAACCCTCAGTCTCCCTGAGCTTTGTCACGATCTGCTTAACCCAAGCGGGAGTCGTGAGRGTTCGTTATCAGAATCTCAGAGTGCAAAAGAAACGAGGGGCAAGTATATATTCAAAATTATGAACAATTTTATTGGATTTTCGTGATAGAAGAGGGTGAGAGAGAGAGAGAGAGAGAAAGAGAGAGAGAAAGAGAAAGAG